TTTATAACAATACAGGCCTCTAGGAGTAGTGAACGACGTGATCTCTCGGTCAGGTTCATACATAGCTATCTAGTGGTAGCCGCGATATGCATCCAGGAAGCTAAACCTCTAATGGCTAGCGGTCAAGTCCATCAGCTGGTCAATTCGAGGAAGGGGGAAGCTATCCTTTGGGCATGCACGGTTAACCGTCTTGTAGTCAACGCAGACTCGCCACTTGCCATTGTTTTTCGAGACCACCACCGTGTTGGATATCCATCGAGGGTATTGCAATTCTTCTATCGCTCCTGCTTCCAACAAATTTTTGACCTCCTCTGCCACTACCTCAGCATGGTGTAGAGCCGAGCGGCGAGTCTTCTGAATGACCGGCCGCGCATTTGGGAAAACATTCAACTAGTGGCAAATAAAGCTGGGGTCGACGCTAGGCATGTCGTAAGGCGTCCACGCAAAAGCCTCTAAATTGGAAACCAAGAGGTTGACATAATCTATCCGCTCGGCGCTAGATAAAGATGATCCCAAGAGGAAGAACTTAGTTAGGTTGTTCTCGTCGATGCGCACTTCCACCAAATCCTCGACCGATTTTTCCTCGGCCTTTCTTCTTATGTCTTCAATGATCCTCCTGACTCCATCTTGACGCCCAAAAGATGATCGACCTCCTTCAGCATTTGAGTGTTGGTTTTGAATCTGGTAACGAAGGCTTCCGCTAGTTGCTGCCACCCCTCGATACTCCCCTCTAGGAGCCTTTTGAACCATTTCAAGCCCAGTTCTCCCAAGCTTGCCGGGAATATGAGGCACATCAAGGCGTCATTGCGCCGGTGGCCAGCCATTACTTGCCGGTAATGACTCACGTGCATGTACAGATCTGTCTTGCCGTCGTACAAGGTGAACTTTGGCTGGTGGAATCCGGCAGGGAGTGGTGTACTCTCGATTTCCAGAGACAACGGCGTGGCTGTAAGTCTCGCCAGCTCTTTGTCCACTGGCGCATGGGCCATCACTCTGGGCGCTGGCATCGCCATTTCTTCGCTACAATGAATTGGGGCGCTCAATCTCTGCAACACCGGCACTCTCTGAGCCCCTCGACGGCGCACCCTCTCCTCCAATACATCCCTTAGGTCTCTGGAACGGGTGGAGAAAGAGTATCGTGATGTCGGTGACAGGCGTGAAGGGCGGTATGTGTTGTCTCGAGTAAGGGATCTGCCCTCTCTTTGGTCGGAATCTCTAATCCCATAGTTTCTGGTGATGGAGAGAGAGTGAGTCCTCTCCTGGCGGCGACTGCTAGAACGGGGGGACGGGGTGCGCTCACTGAGGTTGCCCTCTCCAGCAACACCCTTCCCCTTAATCTGACGTTTCAGCATCTCCATCTCCGCCACCATCTTGCGAATGAGGGCGTCTTGGTCTTTGAGTTTGTGCTCCAGGCGTTGCGCACGGGACTCCCCCCGCCGCCGACGGCCCTCTGGACTCTTCGAGCGATCAGTGCTCCTTCCGCGTTTGTCTCGCGCACCTCGCGAAGAAGTTTCTAGGCCCGCCATGGCTGGAACATTCGGGGGGCCTTCTCTCCGTCGAACAGACTCTGGTGTGACACCATCGACAACGGACAGTGGAGTTTCGTCGTTGTTGGCCATGGAGATGGTCGAAGAATCTTGAAAAACAAGGTTTGAGTATCAAAGAGCTTCCCACAGACGGTGCCAATTATACGGGGGCGAAATATCCACTGCTTTCCGTACTCTTTGGACTCCAAGCTTCACGTGACGGCGTCTAACCTGGCAACACAGAGAACAGTGAGCTGTCCGGCGGCGGTGTGCCGGATAGACCCTTTGACGATCAAGTCAGATCACTTGAGGAAGAAGAAGGCTGTTAGAGAGAGATAGTGTGTTTCCGATGGCGCAAGTTGCTTACCTCTAACGTTCACCTTCCACTCCTATTTCTAGGCTGGCTATGCAGCCTTAGGATTGTGTGCGCACTACCTCTATTGTCCTCTCCTGGACAGGTGGCAGTGCTCGCTTCTCAAAACCTTACGCGTGTAAAGGCCTAATCCTCCAACCAGTACACGCAGAATTGCCAAACGGTATTGACCCGTGCTTGGAGCAGATTTCCTCTCCCTCATACCATTGGCCCAAGTGGCACACTCAACTGGAGTACCGCGACCGACCTATTCCTTGTGGAGAATTGCCACCACAGATAACACAACCGAGCTATGTATCGCCGACCTGTCCCTTGGCAAGGGGTAAAAGTGTGATGCTCATGGCCGAGCTGCGTAGGACCGGTCAGTCCTGGTTGACCGGCCGGGAGGCATGCCGGCCTTTCCCCGTTCTACCTTCATTCTTGGTTATATGAAGCTGGGCCATCTCGGCTGACAGGTTGGAGGCATGCCGATCCTCGCTTCGCCCTTAGTTTATCCCGGGCTGCTTTAGCTCGGTCACCTCAAATCACTGCGCGTCCAGCCGAATGCCTTCCCAGTCATAGCTCGGTCAGGCCTCAATCCATGCCTGGTCGACCAATCCCTTCGGATGTACACGACAAGTCGGGGGCCGCGCCAACTGAGAACACAGCTCGGCACCGTGAGATTTTAACCAATCTGCGTTACCGTAGCTCGGTCGTACAGTCCGGTCCAAATCTCCCCTCTCATGAGGTAAGGAGGATGAAACACAGAACAAAAAAAGAAGAGATGTTGTAGATGCAAGCAGCTGGGGTCGGCCTCTTTTATTATAGAAACAAAACTTTCTTGAAGAAAAAGAAGCTTGGTCTCTCGGTTTCGAGAGAGAGAGTGTGCTTGCCGAAATGGGTCATTCCAAAAAGAGAAGGATTAGGTTGTTTGTCCTTATCATCAAAAGAAAAAAAAATATAATATAAAAGAAAAGGGAAAAAGTTTGATTCTGATGGCCTCAAATGTGCTAAGACTAAGGCTATATATATAGATAATGGGCCTTTGGATATTCTGGAGCATCTTTGAATTTGAAATTCTTATAAGCTGTTAAAGAAAAAAAATAATAATAAGCTCAAGTCGATGCTAAAAATATATATATATATATATATGTAAAAAAAAAATATATATATATATATTTAAAATTTTTAAAAAAAAAAGGGGGAAAAAAAAAAAAAAAAAAAAACTTATTTGTTACTTTTATTCATAAATTACGGTGAGTCCTCAGCTTTATCCATAGACTCTGTCAAGGCAAAATATTCCTGGAGACGTAATGCGAAGCATGGCTGAAAAGATGAAACTATGCATGTCCGAGAAAATTAAAATTTCTCATACACGCAAGGGGTAAATGTAAGAAGAGCTAATTTGAGCTCATTAAATTAATTAGGCCCAATAGTCCAACGTTGGTGGGTTTGAATTTATTGCAAGTCCAAGATTGGTGGGCCCGGATTTATCGCCATCAAATGGGCCAAATCACTCTAAGCCTCGAAAGAGTTCGGATCCACGAACTTAGAGACTTACTCGGACTTGGACTCGAAAGGGTTCGGATCCACGAACCTAGAGATCCGAAGCACTTGGCTTTGAACGAATTCAGACGCAATTTAGAAGCTGCTCCATTAATGAGTCCCAGAATACTTGCGGACTCGGAGGTTTTTCGGGATCTAAGTACCAAAACCATGGGCGTAATGGAGTCCGAACAAAGGATCCGATCTTGAGGACGGTGAGTGGAGATAAATTCACTCTTCGGTTAAACTAGCCTATACCCGAGTCGAGGTGACACGATCTAGAGGGTCCCTGAGACTCGACAATATTTGCAGTAGGGCGTTCTCTTGAACTACCCTTGACCTTTCTGCGGCAGGACGTCCTTTGGGACTACCCCTGACCCTTTGGAATGATTGGGGATCATTGGTTAGGTATGGCTAAGAAGAAGGGTTCGCCGAGAGGTTGATCTCCTCTTCGGGATTTTTCTCATTCTCGGAGAGGTCACTTTCTTGGACAAGGTGGTTAGAGAGAATATTTCTTATGTGCCTTGCACATGGGCTCCATCCTACATCATGAGGTGCCTATAAATAGCATCTACCCATAGCTTTACAAGGGATAGATTTTGAAGAGATAACTCTTAGGAAAGAACTAATTTTTCTTCTCTATTATCAACCTTGAGAGTGAAAGTAGGAGATCTATGGGAGAGGCTTACCGTTATTATCTCTCCAACCACATTGCCTTCTTCTTCACCCAATCTCTTATCTCAATCATTTCCTTTGTTTTGTGTTCTTAGTTGTGACTATTAAAGAATCAAAGCCTCTCATCATATCTAGAGAATTTGAATTTTCTCTTCGAAGATTTTTGAATTTTTCAACGACGTTCTTGAACCCTCTTATACAATGACTCAATGGTTTCGGCCCATCATTTTTATATTGTAATCTTTTCACTTGAGAGAATATAAAACCACTCAGACCCACCTCAACCGGTAGTTGGGTGTCACTTTAATTTCGAATTAAAATTACCGAAAAATTATTATTTTCCAACATTACTCATATCACTCTTTTTTTATTTTTTTATTTTTTTTATTTTAAATTAAAAAAAAAAAGAGAGTAAGCCACTGCTTTTGAGTATTAATAAGTGGGTAAACAAAACATCTAAATTTGCATTCCTCTCATTGATGCTATTAGAAGGTGTAACACTTTTTATTGGTGATTATAGTCCACATGTATATATTAAACTTTGTTTTGATTGTTTAGTAACATTTTTGTCCATGTATTTTTTAATTACAGTTATCTATTTAAATTACTATTTGTATTTTGTATTCTTATGCAACTTTCTGTATTTTGTATTCCAATACATTCTTTCACAATTTTAGATATATGTTTTCAATTGGACCAAATAAGGTATAATTAAAAATTAAAATGTCAATAATTTAGATACAAAAGTGAAGTTGCTTCTTTGAAAAAATGAAAAATAAAATATATAAAAAAAATGATTAATTAAAATATGAAAAAAAATATAAGTATGGGTTGGTTGATGAATGAACATATTTCTAATTTGAGTTAAAAAGATATAAATACGGTTGGGTTGTTAAAAATATCAAGAAAAGAGAAGTAGAGGAAAAAATACTAGTAGGAGGAGAGGAGGTGGAGTGGAACGAAAATGGAAATGGAAAAGGAAAAGGAAAAGGAAAAGGGAGAAGGAACAGGAAGGAGGGAGAAGAAAACAGGGGAAAGAATATGTAAGAGGTGCAAACAAACATACAATCCATCCTCCAACAGCTCTTCTTCCTGCCGCTTCCATCCTTCTTTCTTCGTTTGCCGTCGTCACGATGATCAGAAGAGGTAGCAACCCCTATCCCTTTTCCTGCTTTTTTTAAATTTTGGGTTTCATTTTTCTGTTGTTGGATGCATTTTATGTGAAATTTAGGGTTCTACATCAACCCAAATCCATCAATGATTTCATGCATTCAGGGTCCCAACCCCCCCCTCCCCCCAGATAAATTCACTCTTCGGTTAAACTAGCCTATACCGTTGTTATTACTCACCATTTCTAAAATTCTAGATTTTACTGCTGAAACTTGAATTATGTTTTTCCCAAATATGTTCTCTTGACATCTAAGATTTGGGTTGGGGGGTGAAGGGCAGGTTCTGTGTTACTATCAAAAGCCACTGCTAAATTGAGTGCATTCACTGATGAATTATGCATTAGAGGGATTTGGTGTAGCTGATGGAAGAAAAACTTAGGGTAAACTACCAATAGGTTCTAATAGTTGGACTTAATTCCCATCAAGTCTTATTGAAAATAAGTCTCGGTAAAATTATCGCTAAAAATAATTTTTTTTTTGACAACTTTTTATATATGTCGCTAAAAATTAATAATTAGTGACTTTTTTTTGTCATGATATTTATAAATTGTCGCTAAAACTTATAATTAATGACTTTTTTTATGACAAATTTTTCTCATAGTACCTATTAGACAATAAGTTTACCTATTAGACAATAAGTCTACTTATTAGGACCTACACGTAAGTATTCCAAGAACTTAAAACTAGGCCAATTGTTAGTTTTTTTAAAAACAATTGTGCTATGTCCACAAAATTTTTGCACTGAAAAGTTAGTGTGTGGTTAGTTTCATTTTGGGTGTAACGAGTATCACACCCAAAATGAATATGAGCCCCATTGATTTTTATGTACACCTCTCTTTCTTCTTCTTTCTCTTTATTTATTTCTTATTATTATTATTTGCGTATGTAGAAGATATCCTACTTCTATTCCTGCTCTTCAAGTGGTATGTTAAAAGCAGTTTTTAAAGTGATTTCTTGTAGTTATATAGTCACTCTGATGTGTATCCTAATCTGTGTTACATGGACTCTTCTATTTCCCCCACAATACCCGTGTCCACCGGATATGACATGGATAAGGGTGTGGGATATGTGTCCGACGCTCGTACCCAATTTAGACACTCAGATACTTTAATTTGTGACAATACGTGAAGAAAAAGAAACTCACATTTGTTAGTAAAGCAATATTTTTAGGCTCTCACATGAATTAGATATAGAAATTTCATATTTTTTTCTAAATCATATTTAATTTCTAATATATTTCTACATAATTTAAATCATCTCATCCGAGAATATTAAATAATATACAATATATATGTGCATATGACGGGTCCCCGTACCCATATCCAATTTTGGATATGTATCCCAAGATCCTAAGATTTAAATTTATGAATGTCTGACGCTTGGATACACACCCTCACCCGACACTCGTACCCGAGTCCATGTAACATAGATCCTAATGATGGTGACTCACTTTGGTCCTTAGGACTACTCCAGTCTCATATCTTATTGATGGGCAAAGCCTTGTTCAAAAATGCTTGGAGATGCACTGGGTCACATTCATGTAAGTTTACTCCTGAGTGGAAAGGCATGAACAATGTGTTTGAGCCTTGAATAATAGGAGCTGAGAAGCCCCTAGTCATTGGGGCGAGTGAAAAAGGCTCAACCACGAATGGGACATAAATTGGCTTGACCTCAGATGGCAACACATGGTGACTTAATCCTCAACCATGGAGGGGTGTGTGCTTTTTCCTGTCTTAGAGGGAAGTGTAGGTGGGCTCCACTCCTAACCACAAAGGAGAGCTAACGAAGACATAACCCTATAGGGAAGAGTCGATTGAGAGAGGAGGGTTAGGGAAGCTATCAAAGTAGGGTTTTAGGGTGGGGTTGAAGAGAGAGGGTTTTATAAATAGAGAGGGGAGCTAAGGGGTTAGGGTAGGGTTTGTAAATTTGCTAAAGCGGTGGGGATATTTATGGAATAAAAAATTATTCAATTAGCCAATTCAAAGAAGGGTTGGGGAAGCTATCAAAGTAGCTTTGAGACTTTTATAGTGGAATGTCATTGAGAAGTTATTTGGTGGTTTTAGGTCAATACTTCACCATTTTTTAAATTATGACAGTAGTTCAATTATTTTTTAAAATTTAATATTTAAACCAATAAAAATTAAGTTAGGAGATTATATGTATTTGCCTCATAAGCAGTGTATTCAGTTGATGTGTGGGCTTCAAGTAATGTTTGTATGTGTGTGTCAGATGTGGTTTCACTACAATATATAAGAATTTTCGCGACCAATTATTTTGGTCCCTAAAACCATTATTTTGGTCTCTAATTGGTTTTTGTGATCAAATTAAATTCGTCACTAAAAAAGTCACTAAAAGTGCGTCTATAATAGTCAAAGTTGACTTTTAGTGACGAATTTTTGAAAGTGTCATTGAAAATGACAATTAGCGACAAAATTTATATGGTCACAAAATATTTTATTTTGCAGAACTAAACATTTGGTCGCTAATATTTTGTCACAAAATGTCCCAATTTGGTCACAAAAAACAAAATAGTGACTTTTTTAACAACAATTATATTTGGTCACCAAAAGACAAATTACTTTATCTACCACACAATTTCGTCACCAAAAGTCAGAGTTGGAAAATATTATGTAACCATTTAATTTCATAGCTAAAAAGGCACAAAAGTTAAATTTGCCATCCAATCATATAAAAAAATATATATATATATTTGACATCCACAAATCAAAGACAATCTATTCCCAAACTATAATCAGCATATAGAAAGTAAAATTTTACAAAAATTAAAACTCAAATTTTCCAAATCACTTCAACATAGTTCATTATATGAGGTAAAACTCAAAACAAGTCTAATTCCCAAACTTGATTACAAGCTATCACTTCAAAATAATCTGGGGTCTAAAGGCCAACACATAGGTAGGAGATGATGGAACCTGTTCCCTCCGGTTAGTCCTCTGGCTAACCTTCTACTTCTCAACCAGGACCTTCTTTATCCCGACACAACTAGCCCCCCTCACTTGGCATCAGCCACTACACAAAACAATCACGTATCAATATATATTTGCACTACAAATATGGTACAATTTAACATTTGCTGAAACCCAAATTTTTTTTTCTTTGTAATATTGGGAATGATGATCAGAAAGACTAAAACACAATTGTATAGAATACCATAAGAGCTTAGTACCACACAACATATACCAAATGAAACAAGAAAAAAGAAAAAGAAAAAGAAAGAAATAACACAACATATGTCATTATCAGGATTAGATGAACCTGAACTTACAAATTATGTAAGACTTAAAAAGTAGAGAAAAGAACTCAATCAATTGATTGAACATCAAATCACATAAAATTCACCTTGTCAGCCTTGGCAGCAGCCTTCGCATATTTTCCATATAATTCTTCTCTAATAGCAAGCTGAGCTTTCAATTTTTTATCTTGTAAACCTTGCAAATGTATATGATTTTCAAGGCAATAGAAGAAGAAAGAAATACAAGTGTCTAAGAATCTCAAACACCAGTGTCATACCTCAAAATTATCACCTTCACCTCTCTAAGGTACTATTTTACTTTCATATTTATCTCATCAGAAATCTCCTGCAAACCAAAATTATCAAAAGTCACTTCACTCTATAAACTAACAAAGCCTGAAAGGAATAACTTAAGCCAATTGAAATTATCAAAGCTCACTTCAGTCTATACAAGAATAAGAATTAAAAAGGTTTTTTTGGAAACAAAACCTGAAAAGGGAAACTGAAAGGATTTAAACAAAATTGCATGAAAAACAATTATAAAAAAAAGAAAAAGAAGGGGACATAGATAAGCAATTCAATATATTGAAACACTATAATTCGCCAAAGCTGCTCTGTTAACTCCTATACCTGATGCATGATACCAGAACCTGGAGGAACAACAAGCATGTTGTGAAAAGCGTTCGACCCCCATTTTAGAAAAGCAAATCTCTCATTGTTCCTTTTGAATTCAAGCTCCATATTTGCCTGAACTGCATTTTCTGATCTACTGACATCAACTTTGAACTTATCCACCCAAAAAAGACATCAACTTGAACTGAATGATCAATGACAAGATATAAAAATGGAATTCATATTAATATTCAACCCATAGCTGAAACAAAAATCACATACAAATCAACAAGATCTTTATAACATAAGATAACAGGTTCTTGCATAGCTGAAACAAAATTCCCTTTCTTACTTAAAAACTACATCCATGAAGGCACATATAAAAATCCAAAACCTGATAATATTTTCACCAATTCTAATACCATGTGCATTTATTGAAAATTTCTGAATCCTACATTAATACCTATTACAAAGTGAACAAAGCCATTATCCTTAAATTCCAATATCTTGTTACTTTCTATTCTAGATTGATATTAAATAATGTAATGAACACAACTCCCAAAAATGGGGATAATTAAGGAACCTATAAAATTTGATTGAATCAATACAAAATTAGTAAAAGTGGGACACAAACATACATTACATATTAATCATGAATTAAATCCCATCACATGTGGAATAGATTAGGATAAATCTTCAACCGAGCATTGAATTTGAACAGGTATCATAAAAGGGCAACGAAAAATTTTGGTTGCGTTTGGTAGAGTTTTCTAAATATGATTTGAGAATAGAGTTGTATTTTGAGTTTGTGAGTTTTGAAATTATGATTTGAGTGTGGAAAATTTGTTTGGTGAATGAGTTTTGAAAAGAGTTTTGAATTGAGTAGGGAATTTTTGATATGACATATGATATTTGATACAAAAACTTACAACTTATAACCAAACATACAACTCAAAATTCTATTCAAAACTCATAAAAAATTTTAAAAAATTTAGAAAATATTTTTTATTGAATATATAAAAATTAACATGTGTCAATTGCCAAAAAAAAAGAAAAAAAAAATGCACTGTTCCGGTTAACCGGCCGGACGACTGGTTAGCTCAAATTTTCCCGCTTTGGATAGAGTTTTCAAAAGTGAGTGTGGAATTAATTTTTGAAAACCGTTAACAAACACGGTGTGCAAATCAAAGCCTGGAACTAACGTTCCAAAGCACTACCAAACAGAGCCCTTCTCTTTCCAAAGAAGAATGGTATTGTAATTCAATTCATTTGAAGCATCCTAATTTGTATAAAATCAATATTAATATATGTCATATAGACAAATATGAAGCCTGCTAGAATTACCAAATCAGGCAAAAACAATTGAGTTTAATGATTCAATACAATCTGAAATCACAAATAATCTGAAATTACAAACTTAATAAAAAACAATTATGTTTAACTCCTGAATTTAAAACAATGACAAGCATCATAAGACATAATGTATATATATGAAACTAAATTTTCTTCATCAATTCCCAAGCATGGACTTAAGAGGATTAAACTATTTCATTTTGTTTATTTTTCACAACTCACAGCTTTTTTTTTTTTTTTTTCTTGGATTTTGTACTACTATTTTTGACAACTATTTCATGGAGCAAAATGGCTACACTAATCAGCATGGTGGAAAATTGACTTTTAAAGCAATAGAAGCACCGAAAATTCCCTGGTACATGTTGACACTACGGGTGATGAATAAAAGTAGGACCCCAGAATGTAAAAAAAATAAAAAAAAAACCTAAATTCAATTTCCAGTAAGATATACAAATCGAGGTTTACCAGGATTTGTGAAAAGGCACTGGCAACTCTATAATTTGGAGTTCTAAAATTATTGAAGGTAAAGTGTTCCTAGCACCAGCACACAGCTTTATGAACCTGCATATGTAAATTTCATCAAATCATAATGTATGTACATATATATACAAAGGTGTACTAGAAATTAATCAATAACAAGTTTATCTATTCCCAAGTCTTGGTAAAAGATAAGAACTTTTTTTTTTTGGGATAAAAGATAAGAACTTTATTAACTTTTTCTATTAACTTTATTTATCAATCTCAGTGACAGTTATAGATTGCTTTGCTCATTTCTGTGCACTACTATTGATTTTGCTTTACATTCATGTTTCTTTGGATATGAGACAACAAATTGAGTACATGATTTTTCTTTATATTATCATTATTTTTTTCTTTATCCTCTTTGAAATAGATTTCAAAATGATGGTCCAAACGTACATGGTTTAATTCAATTTGCAGTATCATTTTTTTTTCTTTTTCCTCCTTAAAATAGGGGACCAATGTACCTTTAAAAAAATATGCATAGCTAATTTTTGTTCAAGTAATGAAATTTTGAAATGAAATATGCTCAACTCAATCATAGGCTTAAAAGTCTTCATCCAATCGAATTTATCGATAAACACCCAAAATTTTAACTTCAAAAAATTCAAATATATAAACCCTAGCACACAATGAATCAAAAACAAACTTCCAGAAATTAATATTAGAAACTTCATATATAAATATAAATATGAGAAAATCAATAATTTTAATAGTTTAGAGAGTACTGACCTAGGGTTTTCGATACCAGGTGAGAGAGAACTTGGAAGAGAAGTGAATTTGACTTGGTTTGATAGAAGAGA